AATAACATTGAATTCAAACAATGAATAAGTAAAAGTACTGTTAAAGGAAAATTATTTTTACGTTGGCTAGATGCACTGTGTATTTGCTATCTGTTGCTGAATAACAAAGTATCCCAAAACTCACTGTCTTGAAACAATAAGTTTCAACCTTTTTAATCTCATGGTACACATAAATTACCAAATTTGGTATGGCACACCAAAAAATACATTATTTTTTACTGGTCCAATGAAAAAGATGGGTAAAATTTTGATTCATTCACACCAAATGGCTATTGTGTTGGCTGTTGTCATTTTTTATTTGACACCCTAAGGGAAAAGAGGTCAGTGCCCCAACTAAATAGTTAGATACTGCGTGTTTTAAAAATTCTTGCGGCACACCAGGGTGCCTCTTGCACAGCAGGCCAGTTGAAAATCACTGGCTTAAGAACAACATTAATTTATGGTCAAGGTTCTGTGGTCAGGGATTCAGGCAGAGCCCAGTGAGGAGCTTGTCATTGCTCCACAATGTCTGGGACCTCAGCAGGAAGCCTTTAACACTGGGAGCTGGAATGATCTGAAGTTCTGTTTTGCTCACGAGTCAGGCAGTTGACATTGGCTATTGGTGGGAACATGCATATGTGACCTGCCCGTGTGGCCTGGGCCTCCTCACAACACAGTGGCTGGATTCTAAATGCTCTGAGAGTAAGGGAGCCAGATGAACTCCCTGCTGCGTTTATGACTGAACCTGGGACGCCACACTGCGTCGCGTCTTCCACGTCTACTCTGGGTTGAGGCCTTTGCAAAGGTCTGTTCAGGCTCAAGGGGAGGGAGCACAGACCCTGTCTTTCAGAGGAATGTCAGTGTCATAATGCAAGAAGAGCTTATGGGATGGGACGGGTTAGTGCGGCCGTCTTCGGAAAATACAATTTGCCTTACATTGTCCTTTAATCTCTCTCTGTCTCTCTTTTTAATCTAACTTTTTAAAAACCAGATTCCAAAAGTAACATGTGATCCTAGTAAGAAAAAAATTTCAATTAAAATCCAGCATTTATACACCAATGCAGATTTCCTCTCCTACTTTACTCATTATATAAATTCTACTACCTGGAGATAAACACTATTAACAGATTGATGTGCATTTTTCCATACAAACTAGGTACATATATCTACTTTGTGTATCTACTTATACATAAAAACACTACTTTTTTAAAAAGGATTTTATTTATTTATTTTTGGAGAGAGGGGAAGGGAAGGGAGGGAGAAAGCGAGGGAGACAGACATCAACTGATTGTCTCTCGCACGCCTGCCCCCAACCTGAGACCTGGCCTGCAACCCAGGCATGTGCCCTGACAGGGAATCAAACCATTGACCTTTTGGTTCCCAGGCCAGTGCTCAATCCACTGAGCCACACCCGCCAGGGATACACACTACTGTTAACAAAATAAACTATACACATTATTCAGAAACTTGCTGTTTTTACCTCTATGTGATGAACAGAGTTTCATGACAGTGTGTACAAAAACACCTAGTTCTTCCTAACGCTGGCTGTCATATGGCTATGCCGTAACCTATTTTATCAGTCTTCTATTAATGGACATTTAGGTTTGTTCTAATTTTTCAAAACTATTAAAAATTAATGATACAATAAACATTCTTATACTAGGTCATGTAAGGTCATATCCTAAAAATAGAATTGTTCTCTTCAAGTAATATGCAGGATAATATTTTTCAAAACGAGTGTTTTTTTAAGGTTAGTATTATTGTTATAAGATAAATCTATAATAAGCAGGGTATACTTTTTTCTTTGCAGATGGGCAGGTTTCTCTAACCTCCACATGAAGAACAGAAAAAAAAAAAAACCACCCACATTTGTCCTTAGGTTTAGAAGATGTTTATAAGCTTTGAACAGAACTTCTCATTTAGAAAATGATGAGTGACAGAAACACGGTGTTTATGGACAGAGGGGAGAACTCCCTTTTCTAATGTTTTGAGCTCAGGCTGGTGTGGAATTGAGTGTGGACTCTTCCAAGTTCACACAGACCCTCAGAGGGAGGCTCATCAGAAGGTGACAGCAAATAGGACACCAGCTTGGGCAAAATAAACCCAAACAAAACACAAAGTGACTCCAAAGTGAACAGCAAAAGTGACTATATTGATCACATAGATGTACTATTTGGACATAGGGTACGGGGTCCAGTGTTATCATGGTGTCCTGCCCACCTACCCACCCTTTGTGCACAGAGGGCTAACCTGGAGTGTGTTCTACAGGGTTGTTCTCTCGTGCAGAGATGGGGTATTGAACACTTCTTTGCTGGAAATGGAGCTGCCATCCATTCTACCACATGGATGAGCCTTGAGGACATTACGCTAAGTGAAAGAAGCCAGACAGAAAGGGGCGGGTGCTGTTGGATTCCACTTACTATGAAATACCTCAGAGAAGGGTGGAGGCCGCCCTGGGCTGGGAGCAGCAGGAGTCGGAGTAGCCTAGTCGGGGAGAGATTCTGTTTGAGGTGAGGAGAGGGTTTTGGGAACAGGTGTCCGTGACGGTTGCACAACACGCTGAATGTAATCAATGCTCCTGATTTGTACATTTAAAATTGGTTAAAATGGCACATTTTGTGTTTCATATCTTTCCACACCCAAAGACCAAAAACCAAACAAAAAGATCCCTCTTTGTTGCAGCAAGAGAGGTTGGGGGTCTGTCAGTGTTCCCATGGCTTTGCCTTCTTTTTTGTTCTTAAAATAAAAACCTCAGTTTTTAGAGATTTTCACACAAAGGCTTGTGGGAGCGTGGGAAGTACTCCCAGCTGCCCTCCTATTTCATGGAAGCCTAGCAAGTTATTTAGGTTTAGGAAATGTGCCAGATTGGAGATGGAGATAATTTAATCTCTCTGTGTTAGCTTTTTTCCCCCCTGCAAACTGGGGCCCTGGGACTTGACTTCACCCCCAGTCCCCAGAGGCGGTTCTAAGTGGCGTTGCAGGCGGTGAGGATAACTTCCTCCCCACACCTCGGCATGCCTGAGGGCACTTCCCTGGCAAAGCGAATCCCACTTCCCGAGAATCCGGGGGTCACCTGGTCGCATGGCCAGTGCACTTCGGGATGCGCAGCCTCAGGCTCCTGTAGGGGTGCTTCTGCACCTGCCAGGAGGCCTCGGGGCCAGCGTGGGAGCCGTGGGCTTTCCCTGCTCCGCAGGCGTTTTCACTCCCGGGTGCAGGCTTAGATTGCAATTCCTAAAACGCAACTTCAGGGAGTAGGCATGCGCCCGGCCCCCTAATCCTGGGCTGCGCACCTCAGCTGGTGTTGAACCTAGTGGTCGAGGGCAGTAGCAGCAGCGGCTGGTTGAGACAAGTCTGGAGGTTGGCAGACTGTCCTCCCCTTACCACTGCCCCCCAGACCCCCGCACCCCAAACCCGATTCAAGATTCCAGCCCCTTCTTCTGGGCCAGGCAGCGCTGCCTGCGAGTGCAGAGTCCTCCTGGGCGGTGGCAGGTGTGCACCCGGGGCAGCTCTTGCGGAGGAGGCTCTGCTGCCGCCTCCTTCTCCACCTGGACCCAGACTCGTGGGTGCGGGCGTCACTGAGGTCCCCAATCTGGGGCAGGACCGCCTTGCCAGCGGGACAGCTGGGACCCGCACAGGGACACCTGGTCGGCCACGTGGCAGAGGGGAGGGGCGGGGACAGGGCGGGCACCGCGCCGGGAGCTCACTGTCCTGGGAGCAGGTGAGGGCTTACTCTGGCCGGTGGGGAGCGCCCAGGGTGGTCTGGGGGCGGCTCCTCTTCCCGGAGGAGCTCTGTCCCGTTGTAAGGGGACCAGGCGTGGGTCACATTTGCCCCTGCTCAGGGACACCCACCGGCCCGCCTCCCCAGTCACCTGGGTGCTTGCACGCGGGCATCGGACACGTGCGCCTCCAGCAGGCCCACAGCTTGGTACGGGGCTGTGAGGGGGAGCGGGCTGCTCCGGATTCGCGCAGTGGGCGTGCGCTGGCCGAGATGCGAGGGATGTTGGGCTCTGGCTCCAGAGCAAGCCTCAGTAAATCTTGGGGTCCTTTCCGGTGGGCCAAGGGCACCAGCAGAGGGCACGTGGGAGGATGAGCGCTCCGTCTGCGTCGGGGGCCCTCCGCCCTCTACTCGGCTCTGCCGCCCCAGAATCCCTGCAATCTCCCCAGCTGCTCTCGAAGTGGACAGTGACCCCTCCCACCTCCCAACTCTTCTGCTTTGAATACTTCTCAGGGAGCTTCCTCTCTTCCTCCTGTTCTCTAGCCAGTTTCGTGGGGCACATTCTTACATGACCACCAGCTCCACCCCACATCCATTCCGTCATCTCCCTTTTCTTCCTCCTTCCGAAGGGTCGGGAGCGCGTCTCAGGTCCAGCCCTCTGCTGGGGAGAGGGCCGCACAGAGCCGGGCACAAACAAGGTCCTTGCTCCAAGGACCGCCGCATCCAGTGACGGGGGAGGTGCTGCTCCTCTGATGAGAACCGAGCACTGAACACAATGCTGTCATCCTGTCCTTACCCACCCTCCCGCTCCCGGCCTCTCTCTGACCCTGCTCCAGAGGGGCCCCCAAGACAACTTCCTGACCATCCCTCTCCCACTCCGCTCATAGCTGCGTCCTACATTCACTCACCACCTGGGACCCGCTCTAGTGAGCGATGGTGCCCTTGCCCCGAAAAAAGATGTTCGGAGGTTGCAAGAGGATTGTGAAACCGTGTGCTCAAGGACTGGGCAGTTGGCCCACATTCTCGCTCCCCCAAAGGAAGGAGGTCAGGGAAGAAGGAGAGCACTGTGCGGGGGGGGGGGGGGGGGGGGGGGACATGCAGACGTGGCTTTGGGACAGCACCATTTAAGCACAGGGAGCCTCTGAAGGGTGAATGGGATCTATCTGGGAACCGAAGAGGGAGGGAGCGAGTTTGCAGATGAGGCGGAACCAAGCTGCTTCCTCAGCCAAGGCCACCGTCTGTCTAGGACGGGGAAAGGATGAGTGATTGGGAGGGACGGAGGGAGGAGGACCCAGCCTGACTGAGGATGGTGTTTACCTTCCAGAGGGGTCTCCCCACTCAGACGACCAGGACCCCCATTTCCACCAGCCTGGCCCAGATGTCCCAGGTGCAGGAACTCTTCCATGAGGCAGCCCAGCAGGTAGGCCTGGGAGGTGTGGGGGACTGGCGGGACCCACCACCAACAGGAGACCGAATGCAAATATTACAGTGCACTATTCTAGAAGTAATTACCTCAGAAGCTTATTTTGGTGTTTCAGCTTAATTGAGAAAATAGTATAGCCACCCCTCACCATCTGCGTAGACTCTTCTCTTTGCTGTTATTTGTAGTGGATTTTTCACCCTGGTCTCCGCTTCTCACCCCCACCCCTGCCATGGAGGTTTTCCAGGGACAGAGTGAGGATGCAGATAATACGAACTTTTAATATCGAAGTAAACCAATGTGAGGAGCAAAGTTTGTTTCTGAAAAGTTCATATATGCTGATGTCAAATGAGTTTCTGGGTTCCCTGATATCTGCAAGTTCTTTTTTTTTCCTTTATTTTCTTCCTGTTGGTCACTAGGTGTAGTAAATGTTCTCTGTAGCTATGGAAGTGAAGAGGCTCTACCCAGAAATAGTTAATCCCTTATAAAAAATAAAGTGCTTAAGTATGTATCAGGAAACTACTTGTTTCCAGTGTCTTCCTCTGTTGGTTAACAACCACCCAGCCTTGAGGTTTTCACTGTCCCTTGGATTTCTCTCATACTTCACAGTGAGGTGCAAGAAATTTCCCGAGATTGAAACAGGGGGAGTGAGCCCCCCAAGAGGGGAGAGAATCAACTCAAGGTCCAACCCAATAGCAAGAGCAAGGTCTAAAACTCGGGGTCCTGGGCTAAGGGACAGAGGCTGGTGAGGGGCTCAGGGTTGGTGCGGGAATCTGGACTGGCTGGGTACCCTTCCCTCACGGATGTGAGTCCATGTGAGAAACCAGCATGATGGCAGGTGGGTGGGGAGTGCCCCCCTCTCCTGCAGGCCCAGGGCGTAACCCTGCCCCTCACACAGGGCCCTGGGAGCAGTCAGGCTGCTTAGAAATGAGTGACCGGAGACGTGGAACGGCTCTTCACAGATGTTTCAGGGCTCTTGCCCAGAGTCATTCATGCCCGGGTGGCAAGGCCTGTGGCCTCATTCTTGGTGGGGCCGAGGACCCTTAGAAAGACCTTGATTTGTCAGGGGTCTTACATTTTTTTTGGGAGCCCAGTCTTCCACGATACTTCCCATACATTTTCTTTGGGTGTGTAAGACTGGATATGGTATTTATGCACTTAACATGTATTCGTGGACTACTTCCTAAATAATGGGTTCTGTGTTAAGTGTGAAAAAGATACTCGGATGGAAAACATGAGGCCATTGTACCCAGGGACTCCAAAAAGAGAAACAAATAAGACATTTTTGGTTCATCTCTGAGATGTTAAGGCTCAGGTGTGAGGCTTTCTGCCCTGTTCAAAGCCTTCCGTGGCCCCCAGGACCACCACCTGGTGCGCAGACTCCTTGGCTTCCGCCCTGTGCTGTCCAGCTCAGCCCGAGTCCCCAGCGTGTTCCTCTTTGTGTCCCACCTTCCAGCCAAAGCTCACCATTCCGTAGGCCCTGTGCTTATATCTCTCCCCTAGGTCGGTCTTTGCTGGTACTTCTCACTAAATTCATTCGTCACCAGAACCCTCCAAGTACCTAAAGCAGTGCCAGGCGTCTAAATGGACAATAAGTGTTAGCTGACTATGCAAACCAATTAGTAACAGATAACCACGATGCAAGTTAAATTGCCATAACTGCCCTAAGACACTTGATTTTTAAAATGTCGTGGGTGCAAATGCCTCAGTGTTGCCTCTGTTTTCCTCTCCCTCCCCTTCAATCTCTAAACATCGAGGGATTGAACAGCGTTCAATGTCAAGGCCTTTGGTGTTCACAGTCTAGCCGCATTTGAAATCCATCCCTCTTTATCTGTCTCCTCTGTACTTTATCCAAAGTACCATTTCTTGCCTGGAATATTCATACCCTCCTAACTTCTTTCTTCACATTGCTGCTCTTTCTCCACATTGCTACTAAAGTGATCTTTTTTTGAAATTTATTTTAAGGTTTTATTTATTTATTTTTAGAGAGGGGAAGGGAAGGAGAAAGAGAGGGAGAGAAACATCAAATGTGTGGTTGCCTCTCACTAGCCCCCTACTGGGGACCTGGCCCACAACCCAGGCAAGTACCCTGATTAGGAATCGAACTGGTGACCCTTTGGTTGACAGCCCATGATCAATCCACTGAGCTACCCCAGCCAGGGTTAAAGTGGTCTTTTTCTAAAGCATAAGTTTGTGCATGAGACTCCTGTGCTTGACGCCTTCCCACTGTTTCACTGCCTTCACAGTTCACTTCCAGCTCCTTCTCTCGGTGCCCAAAGCCCTCAGGTCTCGCTGACGGCCCCTGCTCCCTTAGCAGCCCCTGTCAGTACACTTACCATGTGGCACTGAAATGAGCTGTTTCCCTGCTATCTCCCTTAAGAATGTGAGCTCTGTAAGTTCAGGGTCATGTCTTATTCATTCTTGTGCCCTCACTATGGGCTCCGAGTGCTCAGCATATAGAAGATACTCAGTCAGTGTTGGTTCTACGTGACTGGACTTGCCTGGCTAGGGACTGGGGCAGCGCCATTTGCAGTATCGGTGGACGTAGAACAAATGGTGGAGTTGAGAATCACGTCCCAGGCTGAGAGGGTAAGAAAACGTTAGTAACTACCAATTGGTGGGTAATTATGTACTGAGTTTAATATGCATTCCCTCATTTCATCTTCACAACAATATTCTGAAGTAGACAGGACTACTTTGGTGGGACAGATGAAGAACCGAGGCATTCGGAACCCCAATCTAAGCTTTAATCTGTTCTATGACTCCTGCCTTTTGCCGGTGTGGATACAGCCACCAAGAGGGCAAGCCTGGGGCCTGTGAGGGGACCTGAGAGCAAGGGGGGCAGCTGACATGTTTGCAGCTGAACTCGGGGAGTGGCTGGTCCTCCGGGAATTTTGCGTGAATCTTTTTTTTCTATTGAATGTGTTTTTTAAAAAATTTAAGTACAATATTAGAAAAAGATTTGGGAATCTTGAGGAGGTAGACTATATATATACTATATTATGTAATATTGCCAACCAGCCTTGTAGCCAGAAAGAGCTTTGAACACTGCCTCCCACTTTCACATGCCAATGGCCATGAACTTTTCATCAAACTTAGAACTATTTATTTATTTACTTATTTATTTATGCATGGATGTATGTGTTTTTGTAGTTCAGTTACAGTTGTCCCATTTTTTTCCTCCTTGCTCTCCCCTGCCCCGCCTACCCTCCCCCAAGTCAATCCCCACCCTGTAGTTCATGTCCACAGGTCCGTTATACATGTTCCTTGACTAGACCCTTCCCCTTCTTTTCCCATCATCCCCGTCTCCCCTCCCCTCTGGTCACTAACAGCTTGTTCTTTATTTCAAAGTCTCTCGTTCCATTTTGCTCATTTGTTTGTTTTGTTCACTGGTTTCCTCTTATAGGTGAGATCATATGGTATTTGTCTTTCCCCACCTGGCTTGTTTCACTTAGCATAATGCTCTCCAGTTCCATAAAAATATGAACGCTTCACGAATTTGCGTGTCCTCCTTGTGCGGGGGCCATACCGATCTTCTCTGTGTCGTTCCAGTTTTAGTGCATGTGCTGCTGAAGCGAGCAGTCTCATGAGCCTTTGTCTAGCTTTACTCCAGTCTTGGGAGTCAGGAGTTCTCCTAAAGAGCTTTGGGGCCTGACGAACATGGGATTAGAAGGCAGTGCCCAGCGAAAAGAGACGCGGTGGGTGTTGTGCTAACCCCATCAACCCAGGTCTGCTCTTTTCTTGGTCACTGTGACAGAAAAGTAGTTCTCGGGAAATTTGGCCACAGGGAGGATGCTTGTGAGTCAGGTGAAGAAGTGAACGAATGGATTCTTGGTTTGGCTTTACTACTCTCAGGACCAGTGTGTGTGTGTGTGTGTGTGTGTGTGTGTGTGTGTTGGTCAGTAATAAGTGGACCAACTGGGAAGAGGCTGGTAGGTCCGAGGGTTCATGGTGTGATGGCCGAGTGTGCATGTGCTGCCCAAGTTCAAGTACTAACTCTAACCCTTTGTGACCTTGGGCTACTTACTCACTAAGTAAGCTTCCTCACCTATAAAATGGCTACGGTAATAGAACCCACAGTAGAGATTACAAAGATTAAAAGAGATAATCCATGTAAATATTTAGTGTAGTGCTTGTTTAACAGTAAGTCTTCAGTAAATGCTGGTTAATAATAAAACTAAGGTGGGGAGTATGTATTTGGTCCACGTATGAGGTAGTAATATAAATGATCAGAAGGTTCAGGTGGCAAATAAACGAATGACTCAGCACAGCAAATTCAAGTAGAAGACCTACGACAGGAGTCCCAAATCCAGAGGGTTCCAGTGGCCAGACCCAGAATGTGGGACGTTGTCCAGGACAACCTGCTGGGTCGGCAGTCTGTTGAGGAGGCTGGGATACTTTCTTGGTCTAGATGAGTCCAGAGTAGTTTAGAAATGTGTGCGTGTGCGCACGTGTGTGTTTGAGGACCTACTGAACTTGTGGCGAGTATGAATCTCTCTCCAGCAGCCTCTGTCCTCAGGTACTTTACTGATACTTGGTTGGTTTGGCAGTGGGCTTGAACCTGGGAACGTGGATTCCAAATTCTGACTGTGCCTACGTGTGCTGGGCCCTTGGACAAGTCACTCAAGGGCTCCCAGTCTGTTTTCACAACTGCGAGAAGGTTTGAGGGAACCTGATTGCCGGGGTTTTTATGCCATATGCAGAAAGACCTGGCCCAGTGTCTGTCACAGAGTGCGCACTCAGCACAACGCCTGATCAGCCACTGGGTGAAGCAGCTACTGCACCGCAGCCCAGTGGGGCAGGCTGTCTGTGCACGTGGGGCTGGAAGGCGAAGGAGCAGCTGATGCCTGAGGGGAGTCAGTGAAGGGCTAATGGCCTTAGGCTCCATGCTTGTCTCTGCCAGTCACTGGACAGAGAGGACGGTGAGGACTGTGACCGTGTGTCAGGAAGATTAAGCTGGCAGCAGGGAGGCGCCTGAGACTGAGGGAGGTGCTCTGTCTCAGTTAGACATGGTGCAGGGGGGTCTGCAGGATTAGGTGCTTTGAGCATGGGTGAGAAAATTCAGCTCAGCTCGCTGGCTTGCTTATTTATTTATTTGTTTGTTTGTTTATTTGCTCACCCAAGAACATGCTTATTGATTTCATAGAGAGAGAGAGGGAGAGAGAAATATTGATGCGAGAGAGAAACATCCACTGTTCGCCTCTTGCACTTCCCCGACCGGGGCCCAAACATGCAACCTGAGCATGTGTCCTGATTGGGAATTGAAACCAAGAACTTGTGTTTTACAGGATGATGGTCCAACCAACTGGGCCACACCAGCCAGGGCTCATCTTATTTTCTGAGTGCCTGTTCTTGCCAGGATCTCCAGCTACTACTAGAAATATTAAAACGGATATTTCTTAATTATTGTGGAATAAGGAATACCTCCAACTATTCTGAAGCTTTTGTCTTCCTTGTCCCAGAGTAGGCTGGTGTTCAGAGAAACTTAAAGAGAATCTGTGTCATGCTAAGGCATGAGAACAAGGCACCAGAAACTGCAGATTAGCGAGCATGAGTGGCTCGTTGTATTCTTTCCTCTACATCCAGCTTCCCTCCAGAGACTTGAGCTCCAGCTGAAGCAGGTTTATGAATGAATGAGGACTCTTTTCTAGGAAGCCTGTGGGGTGACATCTGATTGGTCTCAGCTAATCACAGTACAAAAACAGTTCAGCACCAGAAAGTGGGTTCCCATTAGAGCCATGGTATCTGGGCCAGGTGTGGGAGGAGGTGTGTCCAGATTGGCTTTCAGGGTGCGACCCACTTCCACCCTGTGCCTAGCATTGCCCGATGTCCTGTCTTCTCCTCCTCTGATGCCTCTGTTGTCTCCTGCTCAGTTCAGTGACTTTACCTACGTTAGCTTGGTGAGGGTAAGAGTCTGGTCAAGTCACATGGGAAAGAGAGGCAGATGGAAATGAACATGTTTAGAGACATGGGTCCTTAGAGCTCCTCTAGCCCAGTCCCCTTGCTTACCACATCAAGAAACAAGCCCAGAGATGTTGAGTGAGTTGCCCAAAGACACATGCAAACAGTGGCAGAGCCAGGCTAACCCAAACAGCTCTGGGTTGGTCTTAATGCGTCCAATCTGTAGGTGATTGGATGAAAATTTCAGCACTGGTGTCAGGCTTCATTGCAAAAGCTTTGCTCTTATTTTCTGCATCCTCCTTAGCCAGCATACAGTTAAGAACCAACTTGTTTTTTCTATGTATTTTCCAGGCCTGTTTTAGCATCCTTAAAAAGCCAATATGCAAAGCAAGCCTTAGCAGCCACATGCAAGGTAAAAGCATATTGCTTTATTAGTATGCAGAGAAGTGAATGCACCTGAGGAGAAAAGGGAACTTAAGACCAGACTGTCTCGTCAGCCAGCCCTTTTACAGATAAGGAAACCGGGACCCAGAATGGTTGGGGGAAGAGAAGGGCTCACATCTGGGTTTTCTGGAGCCATGAGTTCTCTCGCCTGCCAAGTTTTTGTAGAGCATGAAGCTTATATGATTTTTATGGATCATCTTTAGTAAAAACTACAAATACAAAATTAAGTATAATCTCTGGGAGGAACCCAATGCAACTGAAAGGTCTTGAAGTTTAAGCTCTTAATTTCACTGTAAAACTCACTAGTGGCAGCTTTCGGAGGCAGCAGAAGGAAAGAAGCCCGTGGCCCTGGAATGTGGGAGAGGAGAGGGGACAGACATCGTTCTCAGGATTGAGTTGAGTCTGAGGCTTTCACGTGGGCACTGTCACCCTTTTCTGCTGTTTGTTTTTGTCCTTCCCCTTTCCATTTCGCATCTGTTTGTTAATTAACCTAGGAGGTCAACCATGAACATGGCAACTGGTCCAAAAAAGCTTCACATTTGTAAAAAGTTGGCGGAGACATTTTTCTGGATGAAGGTGTCCTAGAACCTGGAAGGAAAGTGATTCTTCACTGAAATGAATTAGATGGGATTCAGTCTCATTCGTGCCCGAGGATATACATTTATAGAGGTGACAGTAGTGACATGGAGAAGTCAATGGCATGAAAAGCATTTCCTACTTACATTTCCGGAGAGAAGAAGGGAGTGCTGTGCACACAGGGCCAGAGGGGCAGCATCAAGTTCTGGTCAGGGGCCGAAGCAGGAGTGAGAGGAAGAGCCTTTACTGGACTTTCCATGGGAAACACAGGGCAGGGCAGTTTCAGGTCTACTAGTGTGAATAGGTCCAGCAGGTCTTAAGCTAAAGAGGTGGTTTCCAGTTGCCTAGTACATGGCCCTGAGACAAGTTAGGGCAGGGTAAATACTGCCTTGGTGTGTGAGAGTTACGTAAAGGGGGTGATTTGGGATATAGATTTGGAACTGGTTGGTTTGCATATGAAAGAGATGCTCCTGGTCAGCCCTTTGCTACCACTAAGAATTGATTAACCCCAAGAGGGTCAACTCCTTAGCTAGCAAGATTTTTTAAATGTTATAATAAGATAAAAAACAAAAATATGATTAATACATTCAACCTATCTGAGTGAATCACTTAGGTGACTTGAAAACTTCTTACTGCCATAGGATACATTTCATCCATGGCCAGATATAGAAAAAATACAGTCCTTGCCATGATTTACTTGCTGGGGTTTGCAAAGAGAACTTAATGACTCTGAAGTACTACTATTCTTGTAATTTGAGTAAGGGTCCACTAGGTGGTGCTCAGCCCCTGGTCCAGCCTAATTGAACACCCTGGCTTTCTATCAGGGTGGATAACTGAGTTTTAGTTTATTTTTTTCATCATTTTATACTTTCTCCAACCAAAATATATCTCTTCCAGGTAACAGTTTAAATGCTAGATAACTGTATACTCAGGGGACAGTGTCTTATAATAAGTTTTTTTAAATATACTTTTGTGAGTATACTTTCAGTTCAATGGCTCTTTCTGCTCTTAAGTCATTATCAAATATAATTATTTTTAAAAAATTATTTATTTTAATTGTTTTTCAAGTACAGTTTTCTGTCTTTTACTCCCATCCCAGCCCACCCCATGAGTTCTCCTCACCTCCCTCCTATTTCCACCCCCCTTAGTTTTTGTCCATGTGTCCTTTATACTTGTTTCTGTAAACCCTTCCCCTTTTACCCTGAAATTCCCTCCCCTCTCCCCTCTGGTCACTGTCAGCCTGTTTGCCATTTCAGTGTCTTTGGTTATAGTTTGCTTGCTTGTTTGTTTTGTTGTTTAGGTTCCCGTTAAAGGTGAGATCATATGGTATTTGTCTTTCACTACCTGGCTTATTTCACTCAGCATAATGCTTTCCAGTTCCATCCATGCTGTTGCAAAGGGTAGGAGCTCCTTTCTTTCTGCTGCATAGAATTTTATTGTGTAAATGTACCATAGTTTTTGGATCCATTCATTTACTGATGGGCACGTAAGTTGCTTCCAACAAGTTGGCTGTTGTAACTTGTGCTGCTATGAACATAGGGGTGCATAGGTTCTTTTGGATTGGTGTTTCAAGGTTCTTAGAATATAATCCTAGCAGTGGAACTGCTGGGTCAAAAGGCAAGATCCATTTCTAGTTTTCCGAGGAAATTCCATGCTGTTTT